TGTATGGAAAGGGAAAAAGATGATTAAATTTTTTTTGGGATGAAATACTATAAAAAGATTTGTTGGGGCTAATTTTTATGGTTAAAAGTCGATAAAAGAGGGAGATAAGAAATGATGGGGTACGGTGAAATTCTTAGGGATTTCTTTATGCCGCTTGAAAGAAAAACAAAAAGAGAGTCTACCATGAAATAATACGAAGAATTAGAGTTATATACGAAATTTTCCCTAAAGAAAACTTATTCTCAACTTTGGCTAAAGTCGTCGTCATTCCATATCTCTGTCTAAAGTAAGGGTATTTTGAAAAGAAATAACAAAGGACAAAAAGGAGGCATAGAAATAAAAAAGAAAAAAAATAGACTTTTATAAAAAGGGATTGTATCTTACGAAACTATTTATCTTTATTACGAGGAACTCATAAATGCTATTAGCTATTAGATGTCAAATTTGATGGCTTGGGTTGTGACAAAAATTTGTTTTTGAACTTTGAGTCTATTCAATGTCACACTCATGCCACCTGATTTGAAATATGATGGACATGAATGACTATGAACTCCTAGTATTAAAAGTAAATGGTCTATTTGTGTACTTTTCTCTTATAAAAGGAAAATGTATACACAAGGTTGTAACTTTGTACTATCAAAGTAAGGTGCACTTGAAAAATCCTCCAAGAGGGTGTTTTGGTGGCGGAGTACCCTCCAATTAATCATCTCGATTTCTAGTTGTAGGGCCATGAAATAAAAAAGAATTTCAAGTTAAAAAAAAACGTATTTTGTAACAAGTTATTTAGAACATCCATTTTCAAGTGTTCATTGATCTGCTTGATCTGTACCATTTTTTAAATTTTAAGTTTTATAATAGGGATTAAAATAGATAATCAAACCATTATAAGGTTTTCCACACGAGCAAAAGAGCCTTAACCTAAAAACCATAATTTAGAATGCCAAAAGATTTATATTTTTGATGGAGCATATATTTCATTTAGTCCTTTGGGTAGACTCAGGAGTAGTTTTAGGGCACGGAATTTTTGGGACGTGAACTTTTCAACATATAGGCTAACTTCAATAAAAAAGAATTTCCCAATAGAACTCAGTGCCCTTGAAGAAAGTAACATCCCCTTATTTAACAAATACAGTTCAAATTTTAGAGGGTAGGATCTAAGTATTAGAAAACTTAAAATTCAAACTTTTTATTTTGAAAATAATCATGTAATGATACTTAAGTGGTTTAAAAAAATTTAGATTGTAAAAAAGAAAAAGTTTATACAAGTAGTCAACCTATACTAATGAAATAAGGTGCACATAAAAAATCCACTAGAGTTGATCATCTTGACCTCAACATTTATAGATATGAAAAAAAATAAAAATTTCAAGTCCTAAAAATAATTCATCTTGTAACAAGTTATCTAATCCATCCATTTTCAAGAATTTCAAGTGTTTACATACCTGCTCGATCTATACTTTTTGCAGAATTTTAAATTTCATAATTAAGGATAGAAAATAGATTTTCAAGCCATTGCAAGTTGTCCAACACCAAAACTACATTTCTATGTAAAATTTAGCTCCGAATAAAATCCTCTTAAGTTGGTCTTTTTGATTAGGGGATTATATATACACTATGCTCCCATAGTACACATGCTCACAATGAGTTTACGGTGATGCATCATGGGGGCATTAGAACAGTATTGGGCCACATAAATGCTGCTAAATTTGGAAAATTCTTTTTGACTAAATTTAGAAATGGAGGCAGGGTTTCTATTTTAAGCCCTAATTTCCATTTTTTGAGTCACTCCGCCTTTTGGGTTTCCCGTTGCGGTAACATTTGGCCACCCGTTCCCTCTTCCCGCCAAAAACACCTGGTGCCCTTTTTTGGTATGCTTTAAACTGTCACAGGACTACAGGAGAATACACAGTGTTAGAGAGAGAGAGAGAATGGGTCTTCCCTCTCTTGTCCAGATTTACCATTTTTATAAATGAATACAAGGAGGAGAGCAGAGGGGCCTCTCTCTCTCTCTTTCTAGAAATAGGGTTTGGTGGGTAGAGAGATGAAAATGAGGCGAGTCTTCCTCGTAGAGTGTAACATCAATTCGGCCCACCTCAGCCAATCTTCCCCTATTTTTGGCCATGGAAATCCTCAGCCTCTGCCGCCTTCTAAATTTAGAGCTGTATATCGAGCTCTTTTAATGGACATATATGCAATAGATTTTCCAAGTGGAGGTCTTCTATTCTCTCTCTCTAAAAATGTATGCATTTCCCCAGTTGAGGTTTTGATTCTCTCTCTAAATGGGGCATCGACTCTGTGAAAACAAATCCACAACGCCCCATTCGAGATAAAATGGCATGCACGCAAGTTACTGTTTTGAGCACATCTTTCCTTTTCTGGAACACCCCACTTTTTCATATTTCTCTCTCCATATTTATATCGCTTTTCTCTCTCTTCTTCATCGGTGTTGGACATTTTTATGGCCCCTTTGGCTTTGTGCCACTCTGCATTGTTGGTTTCCATTTTGGGTAAACCCTTTCTGAAGCATTGGATATAATTGTAGAGAGAGAAAGAAAGAGTGAGGATTTACTGGGTTTTGGATAAACCCTCTCTGAAGCATTGCATTTCTTTGGAGAGAGAGAGAGAGAGAGAGAGAGAGAGAGAGAGAGAGAGAGAGAGAGAGAGAGAGAGAGAGAGAGTAGAGAGAGTAGAGAGAGAGAGTAGAGTAGTGAGAGTAGTAGTAGTAGTAGTAGTAGTAGTAGTAGTAGTAGTAGTAGTAGAGTAGTAGT